TCCTGAGAATACCATGGATAACCAAGAAAACAAACCCATGGATCAATCGAAAAAGTCAACCCAGAGTTCTCACTCAAGGGACAAATGACCAGGCTCAAATTATGCTACTTTGGACACATTGTGTGAAGACCCAGCTCTCTGGAGAAGGCTGTAATACTGGGAAAGGTGAAAGGAAAGAGAAGAGGAGGACGACCAGCAGTAAGGGGGAATGGACTCAGTTACTATGGTGATGGGGTCACTGTTGGAAGAGGTGAAGGACCAGGTTAGGGACAGATCATCATGGAGAATATGGTCGCTAAGAGTTGATGACTTGATGATACACAATCAGAAAGACAGAATCCCACTGGAACCCGATTTACAATGTGTGGTACCCCACAGAACATAAAATGATGCCTAATAGCACCGCTTCTGTTTCTCTCTCTTAGAGTTGCTCATTTTGCCTCATTTGGCAGAGCAACTAATTGGAAGACGATCAAAGGGAGGGAAGGATTTTTCTCCTTCAGATAAAAACAGCACCAAGCTGTTGATGTTATATGGTAGAGGCTGGGTGGCAAGCGTGAGTTGCAAACCTAGCAGGTGCATTCACAGAGCATGGTAAACCTGGTTAGTTGTAACCTTGGTTGTTTTTGTGGGTTAGTTGATGGGCAAACACAGCCTGTTTGGTTAGTTGATGGTCAAAGTATTATGGAAACCCAGAAAGTGGGGGAATTTTGTAATCGAGTTAAGGATGTTGTAGGAACATAGTTAAACAGAGTCATTTGCCCTCCTGGACACCTCCTCCCCTGCAGATGGATAGCTCAGATTTCAAGAGTTCTCAGAATTTTTCAAAGATAACGCATAAGAATTCAGCCGCATCATTGGGCAGTTCTTTCAAAGGTGATCAATACAAGTTCAATACAAATTGACTGAGACGAAAAATTCTTTCAATTCCCAGCCCAGCATGGCTGGCTGGGGAATTCTGGGAATTGAAGTCCACACATCTTAAAGTTGCCGAGGTTAAGAAACACTGCTTTAAAGCATCTCCACAAATGCTCTTTGTAGTTATTCAGTACCAGGAGCCGATAACCTGTTTGCTGCATTATGAAAGGACAGAGGTGTTTCTGCACTGTGACATATTGCACAGCCAAACTTTCAACAGGGACTTGGTCAAGAAAAAGGAAACCCATCAAAATATTGTGTAACGGCAGCCACTTCCATTAGATCTTTTGAAGGTGTAGGAGCACTCACCCCTCACCTTTACACTGCACGTCCACCACACCTTTCCTTGGACCGACTTATTGTCCAGATAGATCAGGTGTTCTACCCAGTTCTATCTATCCAAGCCCCTCCATTAATCGGGAGCGTAACTGAACTTCACAATTGGAAGTAATACTAAATATCATTCATAGAGAATGGACCGCCACAGACATGACAGGTAGATAGCGTTTTTGGCCAAAATGCTTGATCAACTGGATCTTGGTTTGCTTCAGCAGAATTACATGTTACATAT